AATGAAAATTGTACAATTAAATTTGATAAGAAGCAAAAGCATAAAATATTCCTAGGATTAAAATTATTATCACTTATATTAATTGCACAGTGTGCACAGTTGAAGGTCTTACAGACTCAAGAACGCCAATTTTTAATATCTTATCAAAATATTTGGGTTTAGTTTAAATTTTATCAACGATTTTTTTTTTATTAATTAAATTTTCATTATCACAAAATATTAAATATTGAACTTTGATATTTTTTATTTTATGGTTTTTAAAGGATTAGAGTATTACCAGATGAATGATGTAAATTAATATTATGCAAATGTTATAACAAGCAATATTTCTAACGGAATTACTCTCCTTTTTAAAAAAAGGAAACATATACGAGAATAGCACTCAACTCAATGAATGTCAACTTAGTTTGACCATAAAGGAATTTACTAGTCCGTTTCCATGAAGTGGTTTTTGCATGTTATTTTTTTGTTTTCCTCTTCAATAAAATATAGCACAGAAGTTTAAAATCTAAAGTTTTGGATAATTTGAGTTACAAAATCATGTTCAAATTAATTATCAAAACTAAAAATCTTACTAATTAATTTATAAATTATTGACCTTAGGGAAAATATTTAACTCTTTAACAGATTTACCGATTTCGCACCTCAAATCTTAAACACTTTTAAAACTGTTAATATAAAATTTCACCATTTCGTGAACGCCACTATTTCCACAATAAAATGAACAGTGTCATAAAATAAGTCCACAAATAACATCAATTCCAAAAATTATAGAACAAATACAAAATTATAATCTAATACTTGACAAGATCTACAATTACACATAATATTGTATGTATACAAGTACATTTGATAATATATACGCACAGTTTAGAAAAATTTTATTTAAATGACAGCGTTCGTAATGGTTTTGAATACAATTTTAAAATTTTATTTATAACAAAAATTTTTATATGAACGTACATACATACATAAATGTTAATGTGTATAAGTACAAATATTTTTTGTCCCCTATATAAATTTACAGTTTTATGTGAATTTTTATTGCCATCACAGCAGGCATAGCAACTATACGCATACTTAAATACGCATACTAAATCGCTTATCAAATTTTTGTTCAATATACTGAAGACTTTTAAAAAATTCCACAACAAAAAAAAGTCAACTCGTTTCGTTTAAAGATAAATTAATAAATTATGTATGTATGTATGTTTGCTTACATAATGTTCAATGTTGCGTACACTCATAAATATCGTTACAAGCGGTCGTTTGCTTTCTTCTATTTGATGATATGGGTCAAGTTCTTATCAATGCCATACTGTTAGAAAAAAAACTATTTTATTTAATTATTATTGTTAAGCGCCAATTTTCTCTAAATTTTGATTTTTTGATAGTCAGTTTAGAGCTATAGTGGCTCAAAAAAGAGCAATCATATTTTTTTTTAACAAAAATTAATACTTAAAGTACGAAATGAAGGTTTGTACTTCTTATAATACAAACAAATATTTTATGTTATGTAACTCAAAATTATTCCAAAAATAAAATTGAATTTCCAAAAAAAATTGGCAAAAATTTAAATTACGCAGTGTTTATTAAATTTTCTTTATTTTAGAAATTTCACGCGCGATTCTTTAATGTTTTGGTAAACCACACATACATAAATATACCTATTGTTAAATTTTTTTGTTTTTTTTACGATTTTCAATTTAAATTATAATTTCTTTAATGTATGTGCGTTTATATTGGAAAAAATGAAATATATTTAATCAAAAATAGCAGGAGATCATAGATCAGTCATAAATAAATTTGATTTTTATTTTTAGTAATTAACATCGACGAAGGGTCAAAGAACTTTAATATCATATTTTTTCACCTAAATTGGATTTAGAAACAGAAATATAATTGTAAAGTCAAAAGTATGTTAATGTACAAGTTTTTATCAAAATTTTATACCAACACAAACGCATTTTAAGCCTATTATCTATTATTGGAATTAGAAAAGTGGTGTAAATAGGTACTGGCTGTAATAATTTTTATTATGTATATATGCATATTTTGCATGAATTTGAAAGTATTTCAATTTATTGTCAGAGTAGAAGGTAGAAAGTAAAAAAAAACAAAACAAAAATAGAAAAAAAGAATTGCAATTCAACGTAGGTATAATTTTATTTTTACATCAGTTTACCCATCCTCCGTAAGAGTAATATACAAGTAAAATAAAAGAAATTTAATAAAATCAAGAATATTTCCATTAGACACAAATTAGTTGGATAATTTTCAAAAATAAAACGTTTGCGTAAAAATATTTTATTGGCGGCTGGCGCTCATAATGTGTTTCTCATGTTTTTTTTTTTTTTTTTTTTTTTTAAACAATATAATAGAAACGTATACCTCGAGTGTACATAAATAAATTTTATTTTTATTTATTTAAAATAAATTTGAATAAATATTTTTAAAACACATAATGTGCCTATGTATGCTACACATGAATAAACTATTTTCAGATTTTCAAAAAAACAAATACACATTATGGCATACAGACGTATAATACACAAGTAAATTATGCATTATACGTCTATATGGCTATATTGTATGTCAATGTGTGTATATAACCAGTCCTAATGAAAAAATTCCTTTTCAATGAATTTAAAAACTCAATTTTTATTACATACATACCTATACATCCATATATTACTTCCATAGATTTATGAAAGTGAGGCATGATTGGTGTACAAAGTTAACATGCAAAAAAATACAGGTCTTCGTTAACAAATGCCTCAAAATCACATGTACTTCGTAGCATATTCTGACTAAGAAGAATTATGAATCAAGAACTATGCACAAAATAAAAATTCACAACTTAGATAATTAACTCTATTTGACAGCATTTATTGTAGTAATATACAAAGTAAATTAAATAACGTGCACGACAAGTGCACAACGTACCTACTAGCCTATTCTTATCATATGTAAACGCATACGTAAATACTCACTATACGCACACGTAGTTAAATGAATACAGTGTATGCCGTATATATGTATGTACCTATGTAAATATACATACAAATATTATGTGTATTATTATAATAAATACAAATATTATGTGTATTAAAAAAAACGTGTACAAATTTAAATCAATTCTTAAGAATCAAAATATTAATTATTTTACAATAATTACATTACATTGTTATATACACACAAGTGTTATACAATTGTGTAAATGTTATACATGTATCAACGTATGGTCGCGTATAAATACGTAATTAAACAATTATACATATATTTATTTAAATATCTTCAATCTGTATACATAGCTGTGTGTATGTACATATATAATGAATTCCAACAGCCAAGCCCCCTCAATAATAAAATAATAAAGAAATACTCGTATAGATTCACATGATATGTACGTGCGTACATACATAAATACACATATGAAATTTGGAACGAAAATACAAAAAATATTAAAAAAATATTTAATATGTATGTATGTACGTATGCATATAGGCATATGAAGTATTCATACATGCTCTTATTAAATAGATAATAATAAGTATTTACGCTGTCGTCCCCGTATTATGTATAGAAGTTATAGTATCATAAATATATTATGTAGGTGTATATGTACATATATATTTAACTGTATTAAAAATGTATGTATGGTTGTGTGATCATTTTGCCGCTGATTGTAACCTTGAGCTTGGTTGATGCGAATTTATGAAGTGCAAATGAAAAATAAAAAAAAAATTTTTTTTGCGTCGTATTCTCCTCTATATTTACACTTTTTTAAGTAATTGAATACGTATAGAAAATAATTCTCACATAATATATCGTACGTAAATATATAAGTATGTAAGTATAACACATTTAAACTTACTTTATTATTTTTCACTTTAATTATGTGTATTTCGTATAGGTATAGTAATTTTTAATAAGAAAAAATTGAACACTGCCTTCTGTTTTTATTTAATTAAATATTTTTAATACATATACATACATACAATAAAACAATTCTGTTGTCATGCAAAAAATTAATTCAAAATATAAAATTGGGAATATTTTATTAAAAAAGAATCTTTTAAGGAAAACATGAAGGGAGATAAGTGAATCTTTTATAATGAAGGCAGATAACCGAATTCAATACTTTTGATTGATTTTATATTGTTAACACTATTTAACGACCCAATTCATAAAAATTTCATTATGTCGAATAATTTAATCTCCCTTAAACGAACTTCTTTTCAGAAAAATTATAATAACACGGGTATAGACTGCAATAATCATACAAATTCATTATCATTTAACATTTTTGTTCAAAATATATGTACATACATATGTATGTAATTCTTTCGCTTAATACAAGTTTGAAAATATTTCGCGTCATAATAAAAAACTGTTTGAATTCTTATTTGTATCCATACAGTTGAATGTGTACATTTGTATCATACAGTTGAATGTGTGCGCGCTAGAATATAAACTAAAGTCGCAAAACTAAAAATTGCATGCCTGCCTGAGCCCTTAATTCCACTACTTTATTTGACCTAATATTTTCCAACATATATACATCTTATAGGTACGTAGGCATCTTAACATTCGGAAATAAAATGTTATGTTGGCCTTTAATTCTATCCTATAGGTGTAATTATAGCAAACATTTTGTTTTTTAAAAGTGCATTTTTATTGTAAATGAACCGTTCATTGATATGTATTTTCCAAACATTTACGAAATAGTATAAAAAAAATAATGAAATATTTAGAAAAGCTTTTTGACTGAAAAGTTCCGGTTTTCATAAAATACAGAATGCTTATGTATTGAAAAATAAAATTTATTTACTGACTCAAAAATTTTGATACTTCAGCACTTCAAATATTTGTATTCAAAATAATTCCTTAAATCCCGCGTAAGAATTCCAAGAGAAAAGGTCGTTTAAATTTCTAAGAACGCATTTATGAATTCACCACATCTTGACATAATATTTGATTTATTGAAAAAAACTCACCTCTTCACATCTTTTATTATCGGCCAATTGTAGATCCTTTAATGTGTAAGGAGATGAAATCTTCATTTTGATATTATTTTGTTAATAAAATTTCAGATTTAATTTTTAAAATTTCAAAAAATTTCAATATTATTTCAAAACTTCAAATTTTTCAAAATCACAGTTTTTAAAAAAAATTTTTGAATTTAAATTTTTTTATATTTTAATTAAAAAAAATATGTATTTAATTTTATATTTTATTTTATTACACAAAACTTAATTATAAAAAACAAATTTTATTATTTTATTTCAAAATTTTTATATAATTTTTAAAATATTCACCAATAAATGAATTAAAAATTTTAATTTTTTATTTGAATAAATTATTTTCAGAATTAAATTCCATTCAAATATTTATATTATGAATTTAATAAAAAATTTAAATATTAATTAGTTAATAAAATGTATAAGTTATGTATAGATGTAAGTATGTATGTGAATAATTTAATAATTTATACGTATTACTAAAACGGAGAAAAAAAATTAATTATTATTTGAAATTTTAATTTACACCGCTTATTGTATGACGGTTCACAATAAACTGAAATTATTTGAAAAATGTTTAAACTATTTTATATGATCTTTCAAAATTGTTAATTTTTACCGCTACTGACAAAACATTGGCAATTTATTGTGTATTATATTTTATTTTAGTACACACACATATTCAAACACAAATGTAATACACAAGTGAATATTTCTAGACTAGATGATTCTTTTTATTTATTTTCTTTTCTTATCACTTTGATATTACAAAAAATTATGAACTGTCTCTAATGTTATACATATACATATATTATTTATATATATTATTTATATATATGTACTTTTACAATTAAGTAAGTAGGTGCTTATGTACATAAAAAATAAATATGTATGCATTGTGTGTTTATGTGTTTATAACGGCACAATCAATTAATGATCTCGCAGTTTCCTATTTATTTTAAATGGGTGCTTTTTTTCCGCTGTAATACAATTTAATTTATCGTGCTTTATTTTTGATACTTCTTCACTCTTGTGGAGAAAGTATCAATTATTAATATTTTAAGTCAAATCATTTCAGTTTCTCATTTCATTATATAAAGATTGGCGCCCAAGCAGCAATTTTAGAAAATAGGAAATTTGAAATCATTGAACTTTTATTATGAAAACTCACTCTGCTTGAACAGTGTATTCAGGAAAAGCTTTATTTAAATTAAATGCAATTTTTAATAAAAGGAAATTGTCGCATTTGATCAGATCAGTAACAAATTGCCTTGAAAGAACTTATGATCTACCAAGAATATACAATTGCCATGTGCCATTTATAACGTCATTATGTGCCGCTTTAGTTGACGTCTTAAAATTTTTCCCAGTTGAATTTAATTATCATGTGGATTCGACAGCTCTTTGCGCAGCGTGCCAAAATTTCTGAAGAAAAAAAAAAGGATTTTTAATAAATTTAGAAGGCTTAAAAGATATGCTTAAAAAATCACCCGTTACCTTGTGTTTTGTATGTATTTAGATTCACCACATTTTTTTTTATTTGTCAGGTTCCCTTTAGTTGTTTTTAATCGTTTTTAATTTTTTTTTTGTAGAAACTGCATAAGCGCTTATCATTAATGTCAACGTGTAAAAGTGCGTAAAGTGTCTATGTATAGATGTTTTAAGAATTCTAAATGTTTCATATGCACATACTTGCATACGTATTTTATTATTGAGAATATCATACATTGATCCTAGATTACACGCCTCCATCTTTAATAAATTAATTCTAGAAGGATTAATTTTGACTTTATGGGAAAGTTCCTCGTATCACTTTTTGAAAAACATATTATAGTAATGTATACTTATGTATGTGTGTGTATAATATAAATATACATACATGTGTGTAAATAAGTAAGTAAAAACTTCTGAGAATGGTTCAGATGTTTCTAGTATTAAAATAAGAAGATTTTATTGGTTTAAACTGATTTTTGTTTAATGTCATTCACATTAATATTAATCACTTATTTGTTTATTTTATTTCAATTTCTATACGCTTTATTCGATTCCAATAAATTAGAATGTAAATAAAGTTTATCAATTCGGAATATTTTTTCAGTTCCTACTTATTTTTTTGAAAATTTTAAAAACAGGAAAAATTTTGTGCTTCTCGAAATAATTTCAGAAGAAAATTGTTATCTTTACTTAGAAATAAAATTTATTTGAAGTTTTTCCTTTCTAAGCTTTATAAATAGCATTTAGGGCTGGCTGCAGTATCGATCGAAGCGACAATTGTACAATTTACTGGCATTTTTACATAAGTGTATGAATTATAATTGATTGTGAGCTCGATCATTCTATTGACTTGTTTTATTTATAGCATACTGTTAAAAAGATTTATGAGTTTTATAGAGCAATTTAATAAAATTTACTTTTTTTAAATTTTTTTTTTGAAGTAACATAACGAAAATTAAACTTATAATTTTAAAGTAGAGAAGAAACTCTTACACGTTATAAAAGCAACTGCAATTTCATAATGTCCTGCAAAACTTGTACTAGTAGAAATTTTTATATTTACATACATACATATGTAGGTATATAATAAGCAAAGATATAACGCCTTTTTACAGCACTATATTATAAAAGCTGATACACATTAGTTGGTATTGAACTTGTAAATTTTATTAAACCAAACAAACAAATTATTATGTATGCAAATAAAATGAGTGGTTCTAAAACTTTCTTCGCGCTATTAACTGAAAAACAGAATAAGTGTGATTTTTCACAGTGAAATGCCAAAATTTATATAGAATACACATTACAGCCGATATTACGATTAATTACGATATTACAGCCGCGAATTTTCGTCGGCGTTAAAGTAATCTAAATTCCTATTGTGTATGACAACATATTATGTAAAATACTGAAGAGTTGTTTTTGCCCTTCCATTGTTGTTTTGAGTTAACAACGGAAATCGCCAGCCATTGTCGTCAACTGCTTCAATTCTACTTTTACACTAACTTTCTGTCAAAAAAATGTAAAAAACTTGACAATGACAGTTAAAATGCTTTAAGATAATTTAAGAATCACTGGTTTCTTTTAGTCAATTTTAATTTTCTATGCATTTACCAAATATAAGTTATTACCGTAATATATTATTTAATCAATAAAAAGCTTTGCAATTAATTTACTTATTCTGGACATACAACTACATATATGTATGTATACACAAACAAATACATACATACATAGTTTATGATTTGTTTTCAGCAATTGAAATGAGTATGTTTACATTGACTTATCTTTTTTTCATAATATTATGTTGATATTAATTATTGCAACTATACCTACATATATGTATACCCACATACAAGTTTGTGTTTGTACGTGTATTAACACTGAAAAGTTGTTTGATTTAGTCACTTTATTAAAAATTTTTACTCAAAAAAGCTTCAGAGTAAGCACAGTTGTTATATTTACGTAAGTATATACATAATATGTAAATCTATAACAGCAAAAACCGGAATTTCAAAATTCTTTTATCTAGTCCGCACTTTTCTTTTTTTAATAAAACAGTAACAGCATTTCATTGGAAGAATTAGGTTTTTGTTGATAATTTATTGGAGATAAGCACAATAATGAGAATATTGTTTTACAACGTTAAAACCAAATTAAATATTTCCAACTACATTTATTAAATTTCTTTAATATAAAGTTTGGAAACCAAAACATACGCACTTTATATTTTCTGTCAAATTAAGTAAAATACTTATTCGGTCTACAAATGCATGACATAGTCATAATTGAACAATGCCATGAGTTTAGCAGCTGTATTATTAAACAATGCAAGAGCCGTGCCAACAGAACCTTATTACGATAATTTTTAAATGTAAACCCCGTGTCTACCCTATTCAATGCGAATTTTCGACATTGTCTGTTTCTGCATTTATTATTTTTCATCAATTAAGAAAAACTTACTATACACTTCGATTAAATAGAGTTTTCTAGCTTTTTCTAGCTGCTCCTAATTGAATATCTGTAAATCTGTACTGCATACTTTTTAAAGAACAAAATTTATAGTTGGCAATGTTAACTTGTATACAAATACATTTACAACACAATTTTAAGTTTTTGTTTATTAAATAAAAATTTAAAGCAAAAATATTTCTTATGTATTTTAATTAATTTTTTCTATTATTTGTTTACTCATGTTTATATTTGTACAGTACGAAAAAAAAATTTAGAACGAGCCTCTAAATTATCGGTTTTTACACATTGTGTAAAATGCGATGATAAATTATATTAAAAAATAGCTATGTATGTATGTATATAATTCGAAATCACTCTCTTACTTTAGTAAAAGCGAGAGTAATTATTGTTGTTTTATAGGCAGTAGGAGAACCGGAAATTTATAGCATTACTAAATAGCATTGAAATTGAATTTTATTTATAAATTTTTATAAAAGTATGTAAGTACATTATGTATATCTATAACAGGTACAAAATAATTTGAAAATTTTTTTAGGTGAATAACTTTTTAAAAACCGTTCGAACTGGATCACTCATATATTTATGTACAAATAATACATAAAAGTTGAGTCAAAAAATGTCATTTAAATTCTATACGAGAAATCAATATTGTAAATTGTGAATTTGTGAATTTTATCAATAAATGTTACCTTCAACGGGCCTTAATTTTAAGTACATACATACAAAGATGAATTTCTCAAGTGTTTATATAATTATCAAAACAAGGAGCTTGCACTAAAATTTTATTAAGGCTATATAAGCAACAACACTAAATCATGTAGAAAAAGGTTTTAGTTTTATTAAGTGCAATAACTGTTTATCAAATTTTTGATAAGATCATTCATTGTCGTAAACCTTATATCTACCATCATAAATATGTATTTTCCAATAATTATTAAATTTATTACATTATAATTTTATGATGTTTTCAACAACCAATTTCATTTTAATATTGTGAATTTATTACTTAAATAACACATCATGTGTACTTCAATATTTAAACTATTTCATGAACTACAACATGCTCAGAAAATCTAGTACCTGTATTTGTACTTACATATACGTGTATATAGAATGGATTAACAAATTTTGTGGAAGCACCTAGCAAGCACTTATTACACTAGAAGCTAGTATTTAATACTAGATTGAAATAAGCTTCCATAATAGAAATTTTTTAATTTGCTTAATATT